ATCTGAGTCTAAAAGGGTAAAAGTTTTGGTCTTTACAAAAGTAGACTTTGGGCAGGAACAATTTCTAGTGTTTCTTTGTATCCTGAGCGTCTAGAAAATGCCAAGTGTATAGTAGTTTCTAGAGAAATCTTTGTTCTTGTTGTTAATAAGGGTAACACTGAAGTTTTAAATTTAAGAAAATATTCCACTTACTCACTGACCACAGTCCTTTAAATACCTTGATTGCCTGAGAAATGGAAACTAGGAGTTAGCTGTGCATTTAGTGATTTTTTTTCTAAGTATTTATTTATTTGGTTCGATTTAGATAATTTTTTTGTTATTGTCATTGAGAATGTATGCAGCAGAACATATACCAATTCAATGGCTTCTACATGTACAATTCAGTGACATTGATTACATTATTCGAGTTGTGCAACCATTTTCATCCTCCTTTTCTGAGTTATTCCTCCTCAATTAACAGAAACTCACAGCCCTCTAAGTTTCCTATCTAATCCTCTGAGTTGCTGTTGTCAGTTGATCCCATATAAATATATCTTAAACGAGCATAATGCTCAAAGCAGACATTCTTTGCTAGTTAAGCTAAACTATTGTTTGGTTTTAAGAAGATTTTCAGGGGGTAGTTTGGTTTAAGATTTAAAGATTATCTCAGGGTAATAGTTTCAGGGATTCACCCAATCTTCATGACTCCAGGATGTCTGGAGTCCATGAGAATTTGAAATTCTGCTCTATATTTTTCCCCTTTTGATCAGTATTCTTCTGTAGAATCTTTGATCAAAATGTTCAGTAATGGCAACCAGGCACCATCCAGTTTTTCTGGTCTCCTGACAAAAAGGCAGTTGTTCATGGAGGCAATTAGCCATACATTCCATTTTTTCCTCCTATTTCTGACTCTCCTTCTTCCTCTGTTGCTGCAAGCGAATAAAGACCAATTGTTGTGCCTTGGATGGCTGCTTGCAAGCTTTTAAGACCTCAGGCACTATGCAACAAACCAAGAGGTAGAACAGAAGCACTAAACAGATTATTAGGTCAGTTGACTGGGATGTCCCATGAAACCATGACCCTAAACCTTCAAGCCATAGAACTAAATCCCATAAGGTGTTTGGTTGTATATAAACAGCCTCAGCAGCTACTCTTTCTTTTTTTTTTTTTTTTTGTTGTTGTTGTAAATATATCTAACACACAACTTTTGTGAATTCAACTTTTTACAGGTGTACAACTTGTGACAGAAACTTCATTATCATCAATGACATTTTTCCATCACCATAAACCAAAACTCATTACTCCATAGAAATAACTCTCTCCTTTCCCCTTCCATACTGCCCCTGGTAACCACTAATAAATTTTGGTCTCTACACATTTGCCTGTTCTTATCTTTTTATACAAGTGAGATCATACAATATTTGTCCTTCTGGATTTGACTTATTTCACTTAGGATAATGTCTTTGAGCTATATCCATATTGTAGCATGTATCAAGACTTCATTTCTCTTATTGGCTGAGTTAATATTCCATTGTATGTATGTGACACATTTTGTTTATCCATTCATCCACTGATGGGCATTTAGGTTGTTTCCACCCTTTGTCTTTTGTGAATAGTGCTGCAGTGATCATTGATGTACAAGTCTCTGCTTTCAAGTCTTTTGGGTATATGTACCTAGGAGTGGAATTGCTGGGTCCTGTGGTAGTTGATTTTTAGTTTTTTGAGGAACTGCCACACTGTTTTCCACAACAGCTGTACCATTTTGAATCCCTATCAGCAATGGATTATGCATTTAGTTTTTTCAGCCTGACTCTATGACACTCCAAAGCCTGAGAGCTTCCAAAATCAAATGTTTGACCTTAACAAAGGAGTTATATAAACATTCAACAAAGATTTGGCTTTTGTCTGCATATATGTTTGCTCTCTCTTTGCCACTTGATGGGTAAATCTCTGAGCTATGTGTCATCATCTCAATACTACAGTTACTCATTTGTCCAATGACTGCTTGTTGAACCCCTACTATAAGTTACCACGAGAGCTATCACAGTAAGCAAGAAAAAGATCTGTGCTCAAGGCACTTTAGAGTCTAGTGGAGAGTCCAAACAGGTAAATAGTCAGTCATAGAAGATGGTGGGAGTGGGGCATGTAGACAAGGGCTCTCCATTTAGGCATTCTGGAGTATTCTTGGAGGGACAGCTATGCTAAGACTTGAAGGATGGATTGGGATAGTCAAGGAAGAAAAAGAAAAGGGTAGAGAAAATATTATGTTCTTTTTCATGGGGCCAGACAAAATAATCGTAAGATTATGGAAGCATCTATGCCTATCATATTTTCCTGATTTATGAATATCCATCTAGGAAGTCACCTAATTGTGGCTCTACACCTGACTGGCTCTCTCAGCATAGACAAGTCTATTTACATAAAATATATAAACTCACCGGAACTCGACCAGACTGCCTTATTTGTGTGTGTGTGTATACAGTATGTGTGCATATATATACATAGAGTTTCCAAGGAGCGCCTGGTGGGGTCGAACTGCCGACCTTTTGGTTAGCAGCTGTAGCTCTTAACCACTATGCCACCAGGGTTTCCATATAAATATATGTATACAATGTGTGTATATAATATATATACAAATACATCCTGCAGGTGGCCAAATCCATGCCACCTGATTAACTAAAATGACTATTCTGTATTTTAGGTTTTTATATGTAAATGGAAACTCTAATACTTAGGTTATAATAGTATTATGCAATTTTTTATTCCTAGTTGCCTAAAGGTATCTGATAATAAGTAAGGTGCTTAAAAACTCATTAGCATATTCCTAACAGTGTGCCATTTTCTGATATGTGATTCATATAAATCATTTAATCTTTAGGAGTTAGTTTCAGTTTCTTTTTTTTGTGATATAAGAGAGTTGAAGTACACAACTTCTAGGGTACCAACTTTGAAATTCTTTCATATTTTTATGACTCAAACTTCCAGGATGACATTTAATGAATTATTTGTGAACTAAAGAATCCAATATCTTAAAAATATTCTATGTCTTGTAAATTATTACATATGATTTAGATTACTCTATTAAAAACACAATTGAATTATAATTGTGAATTAGTTTAGGTAATGCTAGCTGCTGTAACAGATAAACCCCAAAATGTATAATGGCTCAAACACACTAGAAATGTATTTCTTCTCAGTCACATAAAATCTAAAATCAACTCTAACAATTTACTGGCTCCAAGTCAGTAACCTTACCACACATAACTGTAAGGGAGGCTGAGAAATGGAGTCTAGCTGTGTGCCCAGGGAGAGAGGATATGGGTTTGGTGAACAACTAGCCAGGCTTTGTGGTAAAACTTTGTGTGTGTGTGTGTGTCTGTGTGTGTGTGTTTGACTAAATTTTTACTTTTAATACCATCAGAATCCCAATAGATCATGAGTAAAGGATGTGGTCAAACAATTCACAGAAGGCAATACAATTAGCAAATATACATGGGAGAAAATGCACAACATTAGCTGCCATATAAATTAAATTACAACAAAAGTAAAGTGTTATTTTATATCTATAAAAATAGCAAACATTTTAAATCATGATAATACCCGGTGCCGGCCAGGGTGTCACAAAACTGGTATAAGCATATGTAGTTGTTGGCCTTGGGATTTGATGCAACCATTTTGGAAAGCAACTGGCAATATGTTTTAAGAGTCATAAAAATGTTTACACCCCTTAATGCAGTGATCCTCCTTTTTGGGATTTATTTTGGAAATAATCCATAGGAAAACCACATAAATAAAAGAACTATTTCTTACAATGTTGCTGAATAAAATGAAAAATCAGAATTAGCAGACCCTCTATCAACAGATGAATGGTTAAGAAATTATGATTTAGCAACTAAATTAAATACTATGCATCCATTAATATGGTAATTGTGAAGGCATAGGCCTATGGTCTCCTATAAACATAAAAAATTTGGTATGAAAAATGAGCCCTTATGGCACAGTGGTTAAGAACTCAGCTGCTAACCAAAAGGTGGGCAGTTGGAATCCATCAGCCACTTCTTGGAAACCCTATGGGACAGTTCTACTCTGTCCTATAGGGTCACTATGAGTTGGAATCAACTTGATGGTAGCAGGTTGGGGTTTTTTTTGGTACTCCAAAGGAGGTGAAGCTCTGGTGGTGCAGTGGTTAAGAGCTACAGGGGCTAACCAAAAGGTTGGCAGTTCAAATCCACCAGCTGCTCCTTGGAAAGCCTATGGGGCAGTTCTACCCTGTCCTGTAGGATTGCTATGAGTCGAAATCAACTCGACGGCAATGGGTGTTTTTTTTTTAAAGTAATCTAATTTATTTTAAAAAATCAACAGTAATTACCTGTGGGGAGTGGAACTAGGAATTATCGAGAGAAAGAAGATATTTTTTACAAAAAGTATACCCTTCCATTCTTTGAATCTTTTACCATGTACCCATGTGATTTTAACAATTAAACAAAAGTATATGCTATAACAATAATTACTTATAAATTATAAATGCTTAGAGACAATTGCTAGAAGGGAAGGCGGAAACATGAAAACAGTTGATTTGTTAGGATGGTGAGGTTATGTGCAGTTTTCCTCTTCCCTTGATTTCTTTTATTGTTATAACGTTTGCATAATTTAAGAATGTGAAAACAAAAGAACAGCTGCCTTAAATACTTTCTGGAAGTAAATAAAGTATAAATACTACATTAATGCATGAATGAAGAAGAAGTATTGAATCAAGATAAGTACTCATAAAATATTTATAAGAATTCACATTTGTATTTGTAAAAGCAATCATTACAAAACAGGGATAACAAGTAGAAGCAGATATAAAATGAGGTAGCAGTTTAGCAAGTCAATGATAAAATGCAGCCTGGAAGAGACGGACTGTGATTTGATAATAGAAGAAAACTAAGGATATGACTGGGTGAGAGAGAGACTTTTTAAACTGTGATAAACTGTATTCTCTAAGAAAATAAACAATCTTTCCATGTCCTCCTCTTCAGGAGATGATAAAGTGCTCCGCTTGTGGCATCCCAATATAAGCACCAAGCCAGTGGGGAAACTTGTTGGACACATGTTCAGTATCACTGAGATTGTAACGAATGAAAAGGATCAGCATGTCATCAGCCTTTCCTCTGCCAAGGTAACCACAAAGAAAACAACAAAAACCGGATTTTTCCCCCTAATATTAACCATTGGAAAACCTAGAGTATGTACAACTTTTGACTGAAATAGCTGATACACCAAAAACCAAACCCATTGCCGTCGAAGTCGATTCTAACTCAGAGCAACCTTACAGGACAGAGTAGAACTGCCCTATAGGGCTTCCAACACTGTAAATCTTTATGGAGGCAGACTGCCACACCTTTTTTCCATGGAGTGGCTGGTGGGTTTGAACCACTGAACTTTTGGTTAGCAGCTAAGCATTTTAACCACTGTGCCATCAGGGTTTCTGAAATAGCTGATAGTCACTGAGAAAAATATTGTCAATGTAGAGAAGGAAATGATGAGCCATTTTTTTGTTTCTACTGATTGTAGTATAAGAAAGAACATGTTTAAAACAATGAAGTATATAAATACAACATTGGAAAATCCAGTTAAAAAAAAAACAAAAACAAAAAAAACAGTTGCCATTGAGTTGATTCCAATTTATGGCGACCTCATGTGTGTCAGAGTAGAACTATACTCCAGAAGATTTTCAATGGCTGTGACCTTTCGGAAGCAGATGGCCAGGACTTTTTCCAAGGTGCCTCTGGGTGGGTTCAAACTGCCAACCTTTTAGTTAATACTCAAGCACTTAACCATTTGCACCACCCAGGGACAACACTGGGAAGAAAGTCAGTATCATCCACAATAGTAAAACATGAGAAACCCATTGCCCGTTGCCCATTGCTGTCAAGTTGATTCCGACTCATAGAGGCCTTGCCATTATAGACAGGAACATCACCATTAGTGACAGAAAATAATAAGATTCCTGCTACCATTGCTATTATCAGACAGTGTTTTAAAAGTTCTACCAAACGTAATAGAACAAAAAAAAATGAGCTATAAATATTAGAAATGAGAAAATGAATTGTTATATTTGCAAACAATATGATTGGTTGGAAAATTCAATAAAATCAGCTCAAAAATTTTAACAAATAAGTTCAGTAAGGTGGCTGGTTAAAATAACAATTTATAGAAAACAATAAATGCATATGTAACAATAACCAGTTAGAAAAAAGTAATGATCAAAAGGATAAGATTCCTAAGGACAAAACCTTCATGTCTCAGCAAACAGGGTTCCCAAAGGAGGGTAGCATTGTTCCTTGGCTGGTAAACTGGTTGTGTCTCAGAGCTGTGCTACCAGGAATCCTGACTTCCCACTGTGTTATTATGTGTCCAACAATACATGGGCCCCTATTACGTGCCTAGTAGGGTATCAGGCCTACACCTATACATCTTTTGATACCCTGCCCAAAAGAAACTAAAAATCTAGTTGAGTAAATAAAGCATAACTGTCAAAAATCTTTATTGACAAAAACTAAGAGTGACAAAGACATCAAGTTCAAATCTCCTAGTCATAATGAAAATTGGACCTAATCGTGAAAGCTGGTTTTGCAGCTTGAAATCAGGAAGTCATCAAACTCTCCCGTAGTCTTCTCGAAAGACCAGGCAGATTTGGCAATATCTAACAAAATTTAAAATATCCACACCTTTTGCCCCCAAAATTCTACTTCTAGGAATTTCATCATACAGGTAAGGAGTCCTGGTGGCAGTGGTTAAAGCGCTTGACTGCTAACTGAAAGGTCAGCAGTTCAAACCCACCAGCTGCTCCATGGGAGAAACATGTGGCAGTCTGATTCCATACAGATGTACAGCCTTGGAAACCCCGTGGGGCAATTCAACTCTGTCCTATTGGTCACTGTGAGTTGGAATCCACTCCATGGCAGTGCGTTTGGTTTTTGGTTTGGATCTCACAGTTGGTTTTGTGTGGCTATACAAAGTCATACGCACAAAGAAGTTCACTGTCGCCTTAATGAAAGAAAAGGAACAAGTCTAACGTCTATCAACAGAAAACCGTTTACAATAAACTATGGAGCATTCATACACCAGAATACTATGCAGTCATTAGAAAGAATGGGGTAAATCTACGTAAATAAGTATGTCCTAATACAGAAATAAGCTCTTTACATATTTAATCTCATCTAATGTTTATAACAGCTCTCTGAGGTACTAGTGTTATCCCCTTTACATGTGTGAAAACTGAGAGCCATCCAGAGAGGTTAAGTAATTTGGCCAAGTTTACACAGCTAGTAAGAGATGAGACAGCATTCCACTGAGGTAGTCTGCTTGGAAAGGCAGGATCTTCCAACAAAGATGAACCTGGGAGGAGAGGTAGATGGGAAGGGGGTCTTTAGTTTCTGTCTTGTTTGATTTTTTTACTAGATACAAGTAACAATCTGGTAATTAAAAAGCTAATTTTAAAAAGACTTACTGGCTGTGTTCATTTTATTTTCTAGTTGTCACTTAGCACACAGGAAAAAATGTGAGAACAAGATAATAAAATTCTTTAACAGTTCTTTATTGCTAAAAAAAAAAAAAGTCTTTTTCATCTTAAGTCACTTGTAAGAACTTAAACACATTTTTGCATTTAATTCGATACACAAATAATGTTATATACCTACCATTTGTACTGCACTGTTATGCATACCCCAGTTTTCAAATACACCATTGGTATATAGTACTATAGTGAATGTCCAAAGCGTTCCATAATGTTATATATCTCCAGGCTCTTCCAGTATACAATCAGATAATCAGATAACTGACCCTAATTTGATTCGTTTTGGGACTAAAATCTTATTAACCTCTTGTAGTCACTGGGTAAAATTAGGAAGGCAGGTCCTGACAGCTTCCCTTGATAAATCACAAAATAGTGAATTCCCACATCCCTTATTCTCTCTAAATGGCACTGTAATTTTAAAGATTTCTTCAGATGCAATTTTCATTACGGCACTATGTTCAGACTTCCATTAGAATATTTCTTACAATGCATTATAATTGGAGTCCCTGGGTGGTGCAAACAGTTAAGTCCCTGGGATACTAACCAAAAGGCTGGGGGTTCAAGTCCACCCAGGGGCACCTACTCTCCTGCCTAAACTAAGTTCTGTTAAAAAATAGTAACAGTGCTTCCATTAATCTTTGATTCTGTAGCACCTAGTCCAAAAAACCAAAACCAAATCCATTGCCATCGAGTCAATTCTGACTCATAGCAACCCTATGAGTTAGCAACTAGACCAGAGTTCCATAATTATTTGATGTATGAATGAATTTTGTATGTTAGTGTTACATCCTTTTTATACCTGGATGCATCTGTTTTTTATGTCTCTGAGACTAATTCCTAACGGACAGATACTCTGACTGTTGTTTTGTTGTGTGCCTGCCATTGAGTTGATTCTGACTCATAGTGACCCTAGAACAGAATAGAACTGCCCCATAGGGATTTCTAGGCTGTAATCTTTGCAGGAGAGCTCTGGTGGCACAGTGGTTAAGAGCTCAGCTTCTAACCAGAGAGGTTGGCAGTTAGAATCCACCAGCTGCTCCTTGGAAGCCCCGTGGGGCAGTTCTACTCTGTCCTATAGGGTTGCTATGAGTCGGAATCAACTCCGTGGCAATGGATTTGGTTTTTTTTTTTTTTTTTAATCTTTAGGGGAGCAGATTGCCAGGTCTTTTCTCCCATAGAGTCGTTGGGTTCGAACCATGGACCCTTTGGTTAGCAGCCGAGCGCTAAACCACTGAGCCACCAAGCCTCCTTACTCTGCCTCTCGAAACCCCAAACCCATTGCCAATGAGTCAGTTCTGACTCACAGCGACTCTATAGGACAGAGTAGAACTGCCCCGCAGGGTTTCCAAGGAATGGCTGGTAGATTTGTACTGCTGACCTTTTGGTTAGCAGCCGACCTCTTAACCACTGTGCCACCAGGGCTCCAATCAGTCATACAGCTGGATGTTTTTCCCAATGTTTAAAAAAAAAACCCTGTCTCTTAACTTCTGTATTCACAGTTCGTTTGAATATCATCATTATCATTTTTATTACTACTAGAAGGTGAACATTTTCTGAAATTTCAGTTTTACGTAGTATTTCATTTCTAACTTATGAATATCCCGTTCTGCCACCTGAAGGCATTCTTCATGGGAGCCACCTGTCCTCTCTGATTTTCTCTCTGTGCCAACTCAGTCTCTTCTGAAATGTTTTGCCCCTTGCTTTCTTCCTAAGCCCCTTCAGGGCTGTTCTGCCTCCACTTCTGTTCTCTGAAGCTTTGAAGGACTAATACCCACTGTAGGAAAACAGTCAGCCCCTGGAAGGAATGAGTGAAAGGAGAGAACTGGAATCAGTAATGCCTAATTACTATCACTACCCTCTTCTCCCTCAAAGTAGCTAACTTATTATGGCCACCTAAGAAAAAGTGGAGGCTTGGTGGTGCAGTGATTAAGAGCTCAGCTGCTAACCAAAAGATTGGCAGTTCGAATCCACCAGCCTCTCCTTGGAAACCCTATGGGGCATTTCTACTCTGTCCTATAGGGTCACTATAGGGTCACTAAGAGTCAGAATGGACTGGATGGCAATGGGCTTGGTTAACAATAAAGTAAACTGATTATGTTTTCTGAAAATATCCCATTTATTAACTGATATATTCAATTAAAAAATATATTAAGTGTCTACTCTGTGCCACACCACTGTAAAGTCCTTTTGGACCAAGACAGGGAATAAACAAGCAAGCAAACAGACCAAAACCAACTAACCAGCCAGACAAAGCAAAACGCATAAGACACTAGGAAAACAGAGTCAAGTAAGACATGGTTCCTCCCTCAAGGTTACAGTTTAGTGGAGAAGGCCACCGAAGAAGTGATCATATTATGATGGCTAATTGCTGTTAATATAGACAGGGTATCATGGGAGCTAGAGGAAGAACATCTAAATTGGAGGTGAGGCCAAAGAAAGTTGCCCAAAGAAGATGAGTTTTGTTAGTTTTGAACAAGCACCATGTTCTTACGCCATTACTAAGTATCTCTAGATAATATATAGTTTCATTTTGCATGATTTAATATTCTGTAGAAATAGTACACTGAATGTATTCTACTACAATTTCCTTTCTTTCCCCTAACACTATATATTTGAGATTTATCCATGTTGTTACATATTATTTTAACTGCTGCGTGGTATTCTGTTGTATGAATGCATCACATATTATTTATCCAACTTGGCCAACGAACATTTGAGGTTTTCTGGTTTTTCTTTATTGCAAATAATGTGCTACGAGCAGCCTTGTCCGTTTCTCCTTGTGCACATGTGCTAGAGTTTCTTTAGTGCATGTACCCAGAAGTGGAATCTGGACCACAAATAGTAATTTCCACTTTAATAGGTGTAGTCAACTTGCTTTCAATGTGGATGTATCAATTTACATTCCACCCTGCAGTGTATGAAAATTCCTGGTCTTCACACCTCGTTGACACTTGTCATTGTGAGTTTTTAAAGTTTTTTTGCTTGTCTGGTGGGTGTGAAATGATCTTACTGTGAAAAACCATCTCAGGAGAGGTTGTTTAGCACAGTGGTTAAGAGGCTTGAATATTGACTCTGTCGCTAACTAGCTGTTTGATCTTCAGCAAGTCACTCAACCTCTCTGTGACTCTCTGTGATTCAGTTTTCTCATTTATAAAATGGAGATAACGATGATTATGATGATGATAGTCATATCTCAAAGAGTTATTTTGAGCTTGAATTAATATATACAAAGTGCTTAGGATTGCCAGGCACATGAGTGCTGCACGAGGTTCAGTCAATATCATCATTCAGTCATCATTACTAGCGCGGTTAACCACCTCTTCACTATAACGGCGTAAGAAAGAACATGACGGGGTGTGTGTGCGTGTTGTCAGGTTAGTCCTCTGGGGATTGCCTGCTCACATCCATTGTCTATTTTTCTATTGAGTAATTTGTTCCTCATACATATTATTGATGTATAAGTTGTTTGACATTCTAATTATTAAGCTTTTGTGAATATACAATTATTGCTTTGGTTAAACAGGTTTTTAATTTAGTTAAATTTATCAATCTTTTTTTTTATGATTCAGGCTTTTATGGCCTTATTTGAGAAATCCTTCAACTCCCAAGTTCATAAAGATATCCTCCTCTATATTCTTCTGAAAATTATAGTTTCCTTTTAATATTTAGGTCACCCCCACACCCCTGTCTATATGCTCACTGCTCCCTATCTAGCAACTTTCCCAACTGGCCCCCTGGGCCCCGTCCAGAAATAAGACTGGTCCCTGAGCCAGATGGGGCCTTGGTTTATTTCTGCTCAGAAGGTGTGTCCTCTCCTCTCACTGGCCCCACCTCTTTCTACAAGCTATACCTTCAGATGAAAATAGAGCACAGATTTTCTTCTCGGTTCCTTTGTCTGAACTGGGGAGACTTGCCCCTGCCTCTGCCATCGTTCAGTGCATGTGGAGTGCTACTGGTCCTGTCTGTCCTGCAAGAGCTGGTCTCCTGCTGCCATGCTTGCTTCCAGACTCAGTGCCCAGACTGCTGGCTTGAGCCCACTCACAGATTTGTACTTTTTTCCTATGTAGATCTCTAGAGATACAGATCTTGCTTTTGAGCTTTGCTATTTCTTTTTATTTTCTCTTTTTTATATTGTCTCTGTCATTTCTCAATGTAATATTTGGAGAAAAAATAATGTACATAAAGACATAAAACTTATTGCACTATCCTGATCTGAACTGTAACCCTTCAATTGTTAACGTTTTGAAGAAAGAGTAGGCATTAGCTAGATGGAGAAGAATGTTGAGAAGAATTTGCAGAAGATAGGAAGAGTAGGCCAATGAGAATGAGGGATGCCCTCAAAGAGATGAATTGACGCCATAGCCACAACAATGGACTCAAACATACCAGTGATCATGAGGATGATGCAGGACCAGACAGCTTTTCATTCTGTTATACATAAGGTTGCCATGATTTGAAGCTGACTCAATGGCACATAGGCACCGAACAACGGCAACAACAGGAAGAGTAAATGTGAATGCACAGAGACCAGAAACAGAGTCAGGTTTTTGAAATTCTAAGTAGCTTGGTATGACAGGAACATAGGGGATCTACAGGGAGAGAGACAGCAGAAGAAGCTAGAGGATAGGTGCAACATGGTGAGAAAGGTCTAGGTGCCTTCACCAGCCCAACAGTCACCACTTCCCTGAAAACACACAAAAGACACAAAGAACTGAACACTGAGGAAGAAATATAAGAAACAACAAATTAAATTACTCTATAGAGAACTTTGGCGCAGTGGTTAATCAGCTACTAACCAAAAGGCTGGCAGTTTGAATCCACCAGTCACTCCTTGGAAACCCTATGGGGCAGTTCTACTCTGTCCTGTAGGGTCGCTATGAGTTGGAATCAACTCAACGGCAACAGGTTTGGTTTTTTGTTTTGCTTTATAGAGAACTTCATATCTCAAAACATATTTAATTCAATGTCATAGAGAGGGTTAATATTATTGTGTCCATTCTAGAAATGAGAAAACTGAGACTCAAGTGTTTAAATGATAGTCTAGAACTGAAACGCCAATCCTCTTTTGCTCGTCCACTGTTCTTTCACTAACTACAATTCAGAGTATAGTCACATCCAGTGAAAAGACTGCCAATCATAAACTTACATTAGCCAAAGCAATAAAATCTGGAACAATTTTAATAGAGTTAGATTTCCATGACACTCCTCGATTCCACTTTTGTATCTCTTCCCCCACTTGTCTCTCATCGATGACTGTGATATAAAAGACTGCTAAGGTTTGCAGTCTTACTAGAACAAAATAAATTCCAATTGCACAAGTTCTGAGTAATACTAGCCTATACCAAACACGTTGCCATCGAGTTGATTCCGACTCATAGCGACCCTCTAGGACAGATTAGAACTGCCCCAAAGGGTTTCCAAGGAGCCGTTGGTGGATTTCACCTGCTCACCTTTTGGTTAGCAGCTGAGCTCTTAACCACTGCACCATCAGGGCTCCAAGCAATGTCTTTTCTTGGCCCTTACAAGGATCAAACCTGTGACTTTGGCGTTATTAGCACCACACTCTAACCAGCTGAGCAAAATGACTTTCTAAAATCTCTCACATCTCTGGGCAGGGATCAGGGGAGGTTCTTAGAAACCTCACTAACATGTTCTCATCCTCATGGGTCATAAAAGGGCAATTTTAAACCTTCTACCTAAAATATAAGTAGTCTCTCTATTTTCTAACCCACAGTAGAAAAAGAGAAATGTGGCTTCAATTAAATTGTAAATCATGATCAGTCTTTTATTATTCCTACAAATTCTTAAAAAGTAATAAATGCTATGTTTTCCTCCTTCCTTCTATAATAGAAAACCCCAGTTCCTAGAGGTATACCTTTAAGCAAAGGCCTTCTGCTATTCTTCTCTGATATCAGTGAACAATAATTGAACCGAGAACCAAACTGGAGTTCAGCGAATGAGTACTCATCATTTAAATTCTACTTGGTGCAAGTCTGTAAAAGCATATTTCAGACTCTGAAAATGCTTCACCTAAATACCTTTGAGTGGGGAAAGTGTGGAAACCCTGGTGGTGTAGTGGTTAACAGCTATGGCTGCTAACCAAAAGGTCAGCAGTTTGAATCCACCAAGTGTTCCTTGGAAACCCTGTGGGGCAGTTTTATACTCTGTGCTTTAGGGTCGCTATGAGTCAGAATCGACTCGACAGCAATGGGTTTGGTTTTTTTTTTTGGTTTGTGAAAAGTGTAAACGTTACTGAGCTGTGTGCTTCATTCCCCCAGGTGTTCAGAGTATGGGATGTACAGACTCTTTCACTGCTACAAGTTTTCCATGACAGCCAGGGGGGACCAGGAGACATGCAGATTTATTCTATGGTGTATGATTCCAATCACGGCATGCTGGTTACAGGTGAGTATACATGACTAGTGGCAAATAAAATTCATATTTTGATTGTTAACCTTTTTTTTCTAACTAGCACTTGAGCACAATCCAGAAGAAAAACAAAACTAGAAGGAGAATTTATAGGCATTGATTCACCGCAGTAGATATTGAATTCAATTCCACTCTTTCCTATCTTTCTATGGTTTGGTAAATGAAGTGTGTAATTGCACTTCTCTGAAAATACATCAGTGCTGTAGGTCCTTGAACCTAGGAAGCCATGTCCTGGGTTGAAGAAGAGAGGTGGGTTGAACCTGTCATACGTATGGAGAAAACCTCCCTTCCACAGTCAGCTCTGTTTTGACTCTCCGGAGCAAGAATATGATCCTCTTAGAGCAGAGGCCCCAGCATGCTGAGTCAATGTCCCTTTTCTTCTCTGAGGCAATATGGCACATTGCATCCGGGTACTGAGGCAAGTTACAAGGTAAGGAAGGTGCTTACCCTCACATCTGCCTTTGCTTCAAGTCAAAGAAAGTAGAGAGAGAGGCTCCAGTCCCAGATGACAGCTCCCCAGTGCTGATACCAACAGATTGGTTGCCTCCTTTTCTTGTGGCCTCTTAGAAAGACACATTTAATTGAAAAGAGAGACTCTGCTAGGCATTTAGGTTGAACACTTTTCATATGCACACCGTTAGTCTTTAGGAGAAAAGTTAATATTAATAGTAATTCCTCCTTCTGGAACACTAACCCAGGATGCATTTCCTAAGCATTTTTTCCATTGACCACCTGCTCTGAGTTCCTGTGGGATTAAGGCAGGGAAGTGTTTAATGTTATCTTTACTGGCGGAGAATACAACTTATTTTTAATCTTTTTTTTTTTTTCCTGGATTAGTAATGAACTAGCACTTCATGCTTGATAGATAATTTTTCACCTTGTAAGTCAGAACTGAAGTGTCATTTTAAGCAACCTCTCCTCTGTATCACTGCCTCTGAAAATAATATGCTAATGACTGCAACCAAATTTTCTCTCGTAGTGCCCCGACTTGCATATTTGATTACTGGGTTTAGCATTTCCATTCCCTTTATCATCAGAGTAACTAAGGACTCAAATAGCAGGACAAAAAAACAAAGAGAAAAGGAAATCAAGATTTCTTCCCAGCTTTATGTGATTCTGATAGTACTTTAGCTTGCAAAAAATTCAGAGCTCTGAGTGTTACTTGATCACTAAAATTGCATACATTGATTGCAACCATCAACTTGACATCAGAATTACGTGAAGCTTATCTCTCAGACTTTAATTTGTGCTTGGATTCAAATGAAGCAACCATGGTAGTCTTCTAAACTCAAATGACAGCAAGACCGCATTCTGGAAATGCTTTGTACAATATGCCGTTGTTACTGTCATTGTCATTATTACTCTTATTAGAACAACTACCATTTCTATAGTTCTTTTACAAAGTGCTTTCATGCACCTTACTTCATTTGATCTGCACAACCACCACATGCGCTAAGAATTATTATTTTTCCTATTTTATGATGGCGAAACTGAATCTCAAACAGTTCAGCTGCCTAGTAGAAGGAAACACCGTTGAAATGTAGAATTGGGATTCCACCTCCAAGTTTCTGCATCCTGAATCCACATTGTTTCTTGCTACCACATTGTTTTCAGAGTGGCAGGGTAACTAGCCAAAAATGTTGCTCATAAGCATACCTGGTTTTGATGATGGCAGTTCTGAAGAAAGTTAGATTATTCATTACAGTCATTATAACGTTTAAGGATCTATCGGAAAGCTCCAAATATAATTTGATTATCTGGTTACCAAATTCCCTTGTATTTCCATATTACGGTATTTGGATTGAGAAATATTATCAGATGAGCCATCTCTGTCCCTCTTTACACATGAACAGATTTTATCCTGAAATTTAAACACCTTAGGAAAGTGTTTAGTGACTCCTTCCGAATCTTCTCTTAATGTTGAAGTTTCTTTGGAGGAATCGAAGAAACTCAATAGAAAGGGTCTGCCTTTGGTAACTTAATCTCCACAGCAAAAAAATAAGGAAGAAGTTTTGTTTTTGTTTGAACTACAGAATGCTTTGAGCTTCTTATTTATATTTCTGACGAAAACAGAACACATATTTAGTGGATTTTGAGAGCTTAATCATACTTGCAGTACGCAATGTCACTGTAAAACCAACCCCCCTTAGAAGAATGCAAGTAAATACCAGCTTTCCATCTACTTCACTATGGTGATTTGGAAATTAATCTTATTTAATAAATATTGATGTTGTAAGCACCGGTATGCTATCACTCTCATTCATTACATTTAATAAGGCCATGTTTACAGAGTGCTTTATCATTCATTGGCTGAAAAGAGCTCTCTAGCAATAAATTTCAATCACTAAATGGAAGCTTAACTTCGGCAGGAAGCTGACCATCACTGTTATTGCTGTGTACCAGATGGAGAGGTATGCAGCAAACACAATAAAGAATAGAAAGGGGGAAAAATGAAATGTAAAAAATAGGCAAATGGGATTCACAAAAAAGGGCATATCAATGAAGTCCAAATGGTCTGTGCTTGAAAATTAGTGAAGCCCAAAATGAACACTTTTTTTTTCTGGTAGAATCACATTTGCTCCATTTATCAATAATGCTTTAGAGTAAATGAATGTATTTTTACCTCATTAAATTTCCTAGACATTGAATTACTAGTCTCACTGATTAGCTCTTTCCAAACCAACTGGTTGGGTAAAATTCTCTGAGATTCAAAAAGTCTAATATTAGGTATTGATGAGATTCTTACATCTGTTCCAGGATCAAGTGTTATAGACATGTATCCTTTGACTCGTATGATACAAGATACGAAACAGATTCCTCACACTCATGAACGAGAAATCAATGTCATGCTTTACAACAAGACTTTTCACCAAGTACTCACTATTTGCTCAGAATCTATAATTAAGGTGAGTACCTCTTGGCTCTTCAGAAAAAAAAAGGTAAAGCAAATAGAATTTTCTCTTCTTGTAGGGATTGAGTCAATGCAGTAGCACATATGATGTGATCCTACATTAAAGCTATTTTTAAGCTTTCATGAACACATGAAAAACAAGCATTTCTGGTCAGCTCTGACTGTCTGCTATTAAGCAACAAGCTCAATACATCAATCTAGCTTTAATAATCAATATAAGAATTTCAAAGGAAATATATCAAGGATAGAGAAGTATACATTTTGAATTTGCTTTTTAACTGGACTATGAGAAGAGGATATATGTTAAGAAAGAAGGGAGACCCTCTTTTAAAACAATAGAATCTATTTAATTAAAGGATATTCTGAGATTCAAAGGCCAGCTTAAAAAGAAGAAAAACTAGTATCATTTATAGCCACTTATAAATCTAAGCAACTGAAACAAAACACAGAATAAATTGTATACCAAAACTAACATAACTCTCTGAAACTCTCATCCATAATCCCCAGTTTAAATTTTTATTTTTATCCAATAACCTACTTCTCTGTTACTGTTATTTTTTTTAATGCTATAAATGTGAAATTAAAAAAAAAATGAAGGAAGGAAAGGAAAAACGTATAAATTTCTATAACCCATATTAAAAAAATTGTTGCCATCAAGTCGATTATGACTCATGGTGAGCCCATGTGTAAAAGAGTAGAATTGTGCTCCATAAGGTTTTCAGTGGCTGATTTTTGGGAAGTAGATCACCAGGCCTTTCTCCCAAGGCATCTCTGGGTGGATGCAAACCTCCATCATTTCAGTTAGCAGCCCAGGGTCTCCATAACCCTATAGGTACTGAATAAGTGTCAAGTGCTTTAAATTCATTAACTCATTTAATCCTCACAACAGTTCTCTATGGACAGTATAAAGTGTCCCATTTTAAAGATGAGGAAACTAGAGCTCAGAAAGATCAAACAACTTGCCCCAGATCATGTCAGTAGTGTCAGGGCTGGGACACGAACCCAGGTTCATCTGACATCTTCATCCTTCCCACGGCATTTCTCTAACCTTGTCATCACTGTGTTCCCTGGATGCCAAGGTACTTGGCATTGCTGACCACATCTATAACCATGACTACTGAGGTCATCTGGTAGTGATGGCTTATCCTTTTAGCTCATGAATGCTCTCAAAAGAAGACTTGTGGTGAGGTACAGAGCATTCCTCTAGAGACTCTTCAAATCCTCTTTCAATCTTTCACCTTCTGTGCTCATCTGCTGGAGATTTTTTCAAGCCAGTATCTCCTGAGTTCAGTTAATTAGAAGCTATTTCTGGTAATGCCTGCAGAGAGAAGCTAAAAACCCATCCTGCTTTCAGACAATACTGTCCTCTTAAGGGGAAAATATCTTCCCTGGGGTAAAATAAAAAGAAAGGAATATACTAGGTAAGTTTTCATATCTGATTGGTAGAGAGGGGTTGTACTTCAGGCCAGGAAATGAGTGACCTCTGGAACTATCCTTGCAGTGACCCACATTCCTCTTTCTCCCTTAAAGACTCCGTCTATGCCCAGGAGCACACAACGGTTAAGACAATGAGTTCCAGGGCAGACTGACTTCATTCAAACCTAGGCTCTACCACATCCCAGCCATGTGTCCCTTCACTATGTGGCCCCAGACTATTCCATCAGCTACATCTCATTCAACTCTCCATCTTTCACTCCAGCTACAACAGCTTTCTTTCAGCTCCCTGAATGAACATTGCACCTTTCCACCTCTTGCCCTTTGCATATGCTTCACCATCTCCCCCAAACACCTAGAGTACAACCATTCTGTGTTGCCAGTTCAGTTCTGTTATTCACCGCAGGCTAAGAACATGGCAGATCCACGAAGAGGGAGAGATTCAGATGGCAAGACTGCAGATCTAAAGCCTCTACTGTGTTGCCAAAGAGAGACAATGATGAGTTTTCTAATTACACAGATGGCCTCCTCTGAAATCTTGTTCTCTCTCTGTAAAGAGCTGGGTCCATGTCCCTAATGAGAACATTCCTTGAAAAGGGCAGGGAACCCTATTTTCTCTAGCAAATTCTCTCAGATTCCACACTGCTAACCACAAATTCTGCCCCATGACCCCTGCTAACTTGGATGAGTGTCAACAAGATTGATTGTTTTAATGTAACTTTTAATTACTACATTTCTATCTTGTTGCTAACCTTGCTTCTTGCTTACAGTAGCAATTGACTACTTGCTCCATAGGCAGGACTGCCTGGAATAGAGGCACTGCAGGTCTCAACCACCTGGGCATGCAGCAGGATATCCAGGATAGCATGGCAACTGTTAGATGACACGGCATCTCTTAGAACTTTCTTTGATCAAACCAACATTCCGGGCAGAGTGTTGGGAAAGATGTGACGTACTTAGTTCCAATTTTGAAGCAGTTTTGAGTATTGCAAAGTTTTGATAGGAATTGAAGGGTAAATAGGTTACTTGAGTTTTTATTGTTGTTGTTGTTCTTTCTTATAGGTATGGGAACTAGAGACCGGCCTCCAAATATACCAGATTTTAGACCCTCATGGCTTCAATGTTGAACTGACTGCTGGATCTATTGATGAAGGTGGATTTACCTTTGCCACAGGAGCATATAATGGTCAGAATAACATCTAGAGTATGATTTACTTGCATTAGTACCCTGAGAATTTGTGCTAGGAATTCATTAGCTCTTTGGGCCAGAGGAAGAGCATGAATCTGTCTGGAATATGCCAGTGACATTGGTGTGCCTAACTTTACAATGATATACACTCTTATCAAATGGGTATTAATGTCCTTATATTGATGTTTAAAATAATCAGTGCCTTACATTATATCTACATAGCTAATTGACAGTTTTCAAAAGTCTTTCACACATTCTGTCTCATTTAATCTTTGGTGAGACTTACCTGTGTTGTACTGACTCATCCTCCCCTTCTCCTTCTGGGTACCATCAGCTAAGGGATAGACATTAGATTCAGTGCCCACTGACAATATTTTAACTGACAGTAGATAGTTTGGGACCAGACAAAATATACAGCAAACTTTGTTTTATAACACCTAGAACTCTGCATTGGACTTGTTTATATGCCTGAGCTCCTTGAGGGTATGTTCCATGTCGAACTTGAGAGCTTGTCCAGCTCAGGTGGTATTATGTCACTTGATGCTTCCCTTGCAGGGATGAACTGCATAGAACTTCCTGGAACTAGACAGCAACAAACTACCTCCCAGTTCACCTCATCTTGTTCTGAACTTCCACAAAAGAACTGCTTGACCTAGACAATATAACCAACTGAATGCACTGCTCAGAATATGTTTATTCTAGGGGTACACTCACTAAACAAATACCCACTCATAGGCCAGCTGATGGAGTGAGTGAATATCCTGATGTGAAAATCTAATTTTTAAGTGACCAGATAACAACATTGCATAAAATAAAATTACGAATGCTGAATCGATGGGTGTGAATAAATGCAACTGCTTTTCTTGTGGAACAATTCTTAAGAAAGCAGTCTTACTTTACTCTATAAGCACAGACCACATATATATGAAATTAGTTATAATAGAAATTATGAGCAATATACACAATCATTACCAGGCATAATCATTAAGCAATTCATATATATAATTGTAGTAGTACTATTTTCATGCAAGCTAGTAATACCTAACTTTGTTAGTTCTCAAATCTAGAATTCTTTTCAATACTGACAGCTTGTCCTCCTTCAAGGTACATATGTTAAGTGACAAAGATCCTGGGTCTAGGACATTCCAGGAAGGAGCTGCTCTACCCACAAGCAACTAGTCCTCTCTCATTCTCGTTTACCCGCCACCTACAATGAGCTGAGTAGTAGCTCTCCCTGCTCCCTGCCCCATAAATCTGACTACCAAAATTCCCAAGGTAGCAGAAAATAAGGGCCATTAGACTATAGTCCACATAACCCAGGAATGAATGAGACAGTGATCACTTCTTTTTAATTGTTTGCTTGCATGACTATCTTCCTACAAGACCATAAAGTCCTTGAGAGCAAGAATTACGCCTGTTCCCTTATATCCACAGTTCTTACTACTGTACTGGTAAATGTGGTTTTTGGTAGTTGCCACTGAGTCATTTCTGAGTCATTTCCAAGCCTGTCTTCTGAGGCACCTTTGGATGGGTTAGAACCACCAAACTTTTGGCTAGTAGTTGAGCATTTAACCATTTGTGCCTCTCAAGGACTCCACTGCTGGTATATAGGGAGAATTTAATGAAAGCTTAATGACTTCGCTAGTGAAGAAACAATAGGGTTTGTGAGTACTGCTGATGGAGAAAACACTGACATGGAGGAAGGAAGACAGTATAGAGAAAACATTCTGGGTGTCCAGCAGGATTAGAGCCAAGAGATAAGAAGAGGCAGGGGTGTTAGGGTTAAAGGAGGGAGAAAAGTGCTGGGAAGGGTGGTCAAGTGGATTCTAAACCCGAGGTACTACTGTTAAAGCCCCATGTGAAGAAGTGATTCTCTACGTTAAGCAATAACGTAGAAAGACATTGAACAACTGCATTGATTACCTTCCCTTCTGACCCCTTCATCACAGTCCCCTAAACCAATTGAACTAAGTCCCTGGGTGGTGCAAACAGTTAAAGTGCTTGACTACTGACAAGAAAGTTGGAGGTTTGAGTCCACCTAGAGGTGCCAAGAATAAAGGCCTGGCAATCTACTTCTGAAAAACTGGCCATTGGAAAACCTATGGAGCACAGTTCTACTCTGACACACATGGGGTCATCAAGAATTGACTAGCCGGTAACTATTTTGTTTGTTTTAAGTTAACTTTAAATAAAGTATGGTTTCAAAAGTAAGAAGAAACTCGACACCCCCTTTTTTTCGTTAAAAAACCAATAAAACAACTTTAAGCTTTATAGTTCTTTACTGGTTGGAATTCCTCAGGCTTTTTATTACCCAATAAGAGCTAAAGGCCTAAAAAATGTCAGTACCCTGAGAAACGTGACAGATTATTGTGATATCTGACATGCCCATATAGGGGTGTTGCGCAAACTGGAAAGTATTATGAAAATAAAGGCAGCAGAAGCTCACCTTGGAGGGAATGTGCAAATAGGAGAGTCTGAGGATTTCGAAGAAAATGATCACAAATTTCAGAACATTGCCTGATTGTGTTTATTTGTTATCTGCCTGTGACAAATCAAGGCATATAGAAATATATTGTGTGCATAGCAAAGCTGGGCAGACTCACCCTCAGTCTTAGTAAGAACTAAATATAAGAAATATTGTTGACAGAAAGTGTTCAATTGGATCAATTCCAAGCTTTCTATAAATCATTTTTATCTATGTAGTCTTTTCTCTCTGTGCTCAGGAACAGTTAAAGTCTGGGATTTTGGCAGCGGGCAAGAGATGAAAGTATTGCCTGAAGGAAAAGATTGGAAGGAGGAAGAGCACTGGCTGCAAGACCTGATTTTCCTGAAATCTCAGGAAAAACACCAGTACTTGATCCTTGCCTTGGAGCGCAACGGGAAGATCAAAATGATCCAGGTTCACAATCTCATTTTTTAATTTGTACTCTAGTTGCTCCTCATAGGAAAATCGAATGAGTCCATGGATAAGCCCCATTTAACTACTCTCTTGCCTGCTAGCTGGGAAGAGTATTTATCCATCAACTTTCCTGTGATGCTCCTAGTTAACCTTGCCAGGTCCAAGCAAGAACCAGAAATGAACAGCTGCCCAACCACGGCCTCCTGCTCATCAAACGTTTACTGAAACCTTAAATCAGGCATAAGAAAGGTTCAATTTATACACAGCTGCCACTTCTGACACCGTTCATACCCTCATTTGGGAATAATTCAAAGGCAGAACTGCTCCACAGTAGGGGCTGTGAAAAGAAGCAATGATTCCTCTCTGTTGCTTATAAAGCCAGAATGACTTCAGGAATGCTCAAGTCACTTTTTCAGTTTGTAGCCAAATTGCTTTTTTTACTTTAAAGTTAATCATGCAGTCTGCTCAGGGCTGTTTTGGGAGGATTGAAGTTGGCTAATTTTTCCTTTTAATCTATTACTTCCTAGGAATGCTAATGCCTTCTTCATACTTCTAATGAAGGCTAGAACATTTATGCTGGCTATTGAGTGGCTCTCACCCTGTTGCCTAGAACTCAAGTACTCATTGCCTTCAATATTCCCCTTCTGAAAGCTGAGATTAGAGGAAGCTTTTGAACAGGGTAGAAAGCATGACGTATCAGCACAGATTAAGATGACTGATGGGTCTAGGGCTGGAAAAAAAGAATGATTCAATATGGTCCTCTACTGTAGTCTGAGCAACCCAGAATGACAGTGTCAAAAGGAATTTCTTAGTAATCCACTCTAAAACACAACATGTTGTTTTTCTTTCCTTAAATTAGTGCAATTGCTCTTCAAGATGTCCTTTCTAACACACAATGTCTGTTGTCATAAACACTCCATTTTTAAGGATTACAAAAGCAGGATGGTACTGTTCCCACATCAAAATTGTTTTGGGTTCTATGGTGCACTTTTCGCTTTGATTACTCTGGTTCTCCGTGTCTCCAGACCTGTATATTATGAGCTTGATGAGGACTGGAAATCTCTCTTATTCATATTCATATTCTCGCCCTATTGAGAGTAGATACTCATTAAGGACTGAAAGAATAAAGAAATACAAGAAATCTTTGGTAAGGTAGACAGTAATAAATATATGAAGGGTATGTGAGGAATCCTTATTAACTTCAGAAGGGGGGCTTCAAAATAAGGATAATGTTGAAAGCATACTTAGTAAAGTAAAATATGGCTTGATTTACATATTTATTTTTTAGAATACTTTCATTCATTCATTTTTCAATGACTGTTTACCAAATGCTTACCATGGACCAGAAAGATATATTCCCTTTTCCCAAGGAACTCACAATTTACTGGGAAGGAGTGATATTGAACCACCTGTCACAAGTGTGATGAGTTTGCACAAAGTCCTTCAGAAGCTTATGATGGGGGAGTGGGGTCCAGATTAATCAGGAAGTCAAGGAAGATTTCTCTTTCCAATGATTTCCAAGTAAATTCAACACAATTCAAGAAGTATTTTGCTCCCACATACACTAGATATCATTCTAAATCCTGGGATTCTAAGGAATATAAGGCATTGGTGAACTAGATTACTCACACCAAACCTCCACTGAAATCAACTAAAAGTTCTGGATAAAGTAATTTAAAATCTCCTTATTAGTATTATGGAGTCCCTGGGTGGTGCAAATGGTTAAAACTTTTGGATGCTAACTGAAAGTTTGGAGGTTGGAGTCCACCAGAGGCAACTCAGTAGAAAGGCCCGGCAATCTGCTTCTGAAAAATCAGACACTGGAAACTCTATGGAGCAGAAAAAACTTGGAAAATACACCAACTTATGGAAATTAAACAACACACTATTAAACTACCAGTGGCTCAAGGAAGAAACCTCAAGAGAAATCACAAATTTTCTAGACTCAAATGAAAATGAAAGTACCATATACCAAAACTTACGGGATGCAGCAAAGGCAGTACTCAGAGGGAAACTTACAGCAATAAATGCCTACATGAAAAAAGAAGAAAGATCTCAAAAAACAGCCTAACTTGACAGCTCCAGGAACTAGAAAGAGAAGAGCAAACTAAGCCTAATCCTACTAGAAGAAAGGAAATAACAAAGATCAGAACAGAAATAAATAAAAAATTCAAAACATAAAAACAATAGAGATAATCAATAAAAACCAATAGTTAGTTCTTTGAAAAGATCAATAAAATTGACAAACCTTTAGCTAGACTGACAAAGAAAAGAAGAGAAAAGATAGAAATAATCAAAATAAAAAATGAAAGATGGGACAGTAAAACTGACCCAATAGAAATAACGAGAATTATAACAGAATATTATGAACAACTGTATGGCAACAAACTGGATAACCTAGATGAAATGGACAAATTCTTGGAAGGACACAACCTACCCAAATGGACTTAAGAGGAAATAGTCTCAACAGACCCATAATAAGTGAAGAGATCAAATCAGTGATCAAGAACCTCCCAACAAAATAAACTCCTGGACCAGATGGCTTCACTGGGGAATTCTACCAAAATTTAGAGAATTGACACCAATGCTGTTTAAACTATTCCAAAAGAATAGAGAAGAAACTAATACTCCCTAATTCATTCCGTGAAGCAAACATAACCCTGATACCAAACCAGACAAAGACGACACAAGAAAAGAAAATTATAGGCCAGTATCTCCTACGAATATAGTTGCAAAAATCCTCAACAAAATACTATCAAACAGAATCCAACAGCCTATTAAAAGAGTCACACATCATGACCAGGTGGGATTTATTCCAGGAATGCAAGGACAGTTCAACATTAGAAAATCAATCAATGTAATACACCACATCAATAGAACAAAGGAAAAGAAACATGTAATCATCCCTGTGGATGCAGAAAAAGCATTTGATAAAATCCAACATCCATTCTTGATGAAAACCCTAAAGAAGATTGGAATAGAAGGGAAATTCCTCAATATGATTCAGTGCATATATGAAAAGCCAACAGCCAACATTATACTTAATGGAGAAAGACTGAGACCTTTCCTCTTGAAATTGAGAACAAGACAAGAGTGCCTGCTCTCACCACTTCTATTTAATATTGTATTAGAAGTCCTAGCCAGAGCAATAAGACGAGAAAAAGAAATAAGTAGTATCCAGATTGGAAAAGAATAAGTAAAATTATCTCTATTTGCAGATGATATGATCCTATATATAGAAAATCCTAATGAGTCCACAAGAAAATCTCTAGAGCTAATAGGGGAATTTAGCAAAGATGCAGGGTACAAGGTCAACAACAACAACAAAAATTAGTTGGGTTTCTATACAACAGCAATGAGAAACCTGAAAGGGAAATTAGGGAAACAATTCCATTTACAATAGTATCTAAGAGAATAAAATACCTAGGAATAAATCTAACCAGGGACTTGAAGGACTTATACAATGAAAACTATAAAACACTGCTGAAAGAGATTTAAAAAAGACTTAAATAAATGGAAAGATGTTCCATGTTCATGAATTGTAAGACTTAATATTGTTGAGATATCAGTACTACCCAGAGCAATCTATAGCTTCAAACAATTGTGATCAAAATTCCAACAGCCTTCTTTACAGAAATAGAAAAACCAATCCTCAACTTTATATGGAATGGCAACAGGCCCTGAATAGCTAAAACAATGTTGAAAGAGAAGAACAAAGTAGGAAGACTCATACTTCCTGATTTTAAAACATACTATACAGTTACAGTAATCAAAACAGCCTGGTACTTAACCGTTGTCATAGGGCAACATTTGTAGTAACTGTTAAATGAGAAACTATTTTGTTCTGTAAGCCTTCATCTTAAGTGAGAATAACAGCACAATTGGAA